CAGCAGTAAGGTAAATCCCAGGAAATATTTTCAGAGTGCAGGGGGGTTTCCAAGACAGCAAAGGAAGATTGCAACTCATATGGAAGCAAACACAGACCAAAGCTGTGTCCTGTCAAGAACCAAATCATCCTGGTGAAGTCCAAAGAAAAGGCCAGAACAGGACTGAAGATAAGCGACTGTATATTCTGCATAGGAGGAGGATTCTAGCAGCTCTCTGCGATGACAAAATGAAATCAGCAATACAGAAGAGAATTTTTGGGTGGGAATGGCTTGTGAGACAGCCAGTGGCAGAATTGGACTGAGCTGTGAATGAACATGGTGGAACCAACATGACGAGCAGGTGCGACCAGTGCTCAAGTCACAAATATAACTTTGAAGGAGGAAATGCGGAATCCTGTGTGTGAGGAACTTGTAAGGATGAACAAGATTTGAAGATGGACAAAGACCTATGTTAAAAAAGCCTCAGGTTAGACACACTTGGCTTAGCAAGAAGATGAAATACATTAAAAGAAAGACTCCACTAGAGCAAACCAGGCAACAGAGATCCTTCCGGACACTCTGGATTCATAAATCCAAGGCAGCCACAGATTTATTGTATCCTCAGAGCATGCAACCGTTAATGATGCAGCAGAGTTCAAGCCCTGACCCCAGGGATTGCAGAAATCTGCCTGGACTATATAACAAGAGATTTCCTCAACTGCTCAAAGCCACCAAGAGGTTTTCTCTACAGGCCACTGCTAATCTGCAGCCTGTGTGATGATTACGGGGAAAGAGCCTTTCCTTTAACACCAATGCAACGAGCAACTTCAAGGGGTGTGGGAAAAGCATTATTAGCATAGGCAGCACCTAATACTGATAGAGCTTCCTCTCTCCTTAGCTCACGACCAGGAGGCACCTCTGCGTGTGGAGAATACTTAAGTAGTCAGTGAAGAGAACAAGATGCTGCTGTTGTGGCTGGCCAACAGCCCCTTTATGGCAGACCTCCTAAGCCAGAGCTACAGAAAGATGGAGTACTGCTTTCTTCCCAGCCTCGCACAGGGTGCTCTTGTAAATGCTTCCCTGCACACGGGTCTCTCCCTTCCAGCACTGGTACATTCTCAACGATGCTAACAAGATGACTCTCATACATAATGACTGATGGTGGAGTCGTGGGTTAAAACTCCGAATGTGAGTTTTAATACTAAATGAATACTGCATAGCCAGTAAAGTCTGTGGCAGCCACATTTACCCGCATCATAGCAGTACATTTGACACCCATTAGATAAATACATTAAAGTCACTTCAGTGACTCTGCCCTCCGCTGAAGCATGCTCCAGAGGCATTTACAACCAAAGGACTTTCAGGAACTTGGTTCCTTGTGCTCCCAGGAGAGCTTGAGGGATAGGGAAAGTTGCAGTGGTTTATGGATCGTGTCTGTTTTAGATCCAGTTCTCCATTAGTCCTACACAAGCACAGACAGGTGTCACAGAAAACCTGGTGTAAAGAGATGGGAATGTGTTAGTACTGACAGCACGTGATTTTTGGTCAGAAGAAGAGACAAGGATGTGCTTTCTCTGTCCTGCAGACAGCTGCCATGGCTTTGGTGAGCTGTGGCACTGAGCTTGGTATGGTCCCATCCTTCACAGTGGGTTGTGTCTGGCAGGTAGACGTGTATAATGGTAGCCAGTGAGGAGATTCAGTGCACTACGACAAAATGTTTCCAAATGAAGACCTGAAGTGCCCTTCCAAGCCCTAACGAGGACTGGCTCTGAAGTGATGCTGCCTGGCCATTGCTTCTGCCTTGTGTCTGCAGGAATGGAAGGGATGGCAGAGAGCAGTCAAGAATTGTCTGGGAAGGACAACTGAAGGGCATCGTGTGCTCCTTCCACATGGCTGCCCCACAGCAAGCTGCTGGTGAGTTTTCTAGGCAGACAGCTCTCCTTGCAAAGCTCTCTTGTCCATAAAGTAGCCAGTAAACATGCCTACAGTCCACTGACCCCTCACTCCATATCATATTCTGCCATCTGAAAGAGATGTAGGGCAATGGCACTGCTGTCACAGGGGAGCACTGTGGACACTGAGCACAGAACACGTCCCTGTGTTCCCAGCACGCACCTGCTGCTCAAGTTCCCGTGACTGCAGATGCACTTTTGATTGCAAGAACAGGAGAATACCAAAAGCACAAATGCAAATACGATGCTGCACTCGAGATTTCAGATAAATAGGAGCTGGGGGGAAAATTCCTCCTCTCAAGGGCCCTGCTGCTGACGCTGTCCACCAAGCGCTGGGACACTGGAAGAGCTAAGCAGGGAAAGAACTCTCACTCGTAGGGAATGGTCCGCTGCCACTCCTAAGTTCTTCTTTGTTGGATCTGGTCTGAAAGTGGAAAATTCTGAGTATCTTATAAATGGCCTCGTATTTTACAAGCAGTCTAGGGAGGTGATGTCTGGCCACACAAGTCTAGGCAGCTTGGGAGTTTCATCCACAGCAGACACGCTTCCCCTTGGATGCAGCTCCTGGAAAACACAGCAAACCAGCTCCCTATGAACATGCCTCCAACACCCCGTGCTGCTCAAAATAAGTGGAGGACCCTGCAAATGGCAGCTGCAGACAAGGGCTTGGAAACACAAACTCTGCAGGCCATGGCCAGGAGATGTGTAGAAATATGCCACATGTGGCCAGAGGAAGGCGACTGGTGGTAGGCATGTTTAAAAGGATACAAGGCGCTGAACAAGGAGAACAAGCCTGATTCTCATTTACACCCTCCTGCGCTTGGTTGGTGGCATTTACACATACCAAAGACCTGGTCAGCTTCAACCACAGCATTCTGCTCCTCTTAGAGGTCGGGGCTTACCCTGCCTTTCTGTGGTCAGGACACCAATGACACCTTTCTAAGCACTCAGGCATTTCATTTCCAAAGGGCTCTCACAGCCAGCTGTGGAGTTATCATTCCCTCCCACAACCCATCCATCCTCCCCTGTCTTTCCCTCCCCAAACCTTATGATGCTGCTCACCCCTGCACCAGCAACCCTGAATCGAGCAGGTGATCACTTTGTCTTGCAAACAACTGGAAACCCAACATTAGAAATGTTGGTCGGGCCATGACAAATTGCAAAATGACAAACAAGCAAATGGGAGGAAATGTGCATATAAAAAAGAAAAAGAAAACAATTCTCCTGGCATATTGTCAAAAAGCTGCACGTTTCCTGCCCCAGGGAAGGGCTTGAAGCTCTTGAACGACATGATGCTTGGAGATGCCATTTTTCATTAAAAATCCCCAACCATCCATTTCCAACCCCAAACTCACAATCTGGTGTGAACAAAAGAAGGTAAAAGGACAAAGCTCCCAACAACGACAACCGAAAAATAAAGGTACACATCAGCATTTGTAACCAAAAACTGCTCCATGCTGTACCTGGGAAGTGTTCCGGGGAAAGATCTCCGGCATCTAGTGAGGACATCACTAAAAGACCTGTGCATATGACATGTATGGGGCAATGATGCCACTGGAGGGTGGATGGACGGACCCTCAGGAAACTGCCACTCACAAAACTGTTCCATGACAAGAGAAAATGAGAGATGTAAAAAGGATTGGTTTTCCCCATCGCCGCCCCCTGAAGCATTACAGATTCCTTCTCAGTTGTCGGAAATGGTCTCCTCTAGTCTCAGTTTATTTGTTTGGGGTTTGTTTTGTTTCGTTTTGCTTTTTTTATTTTTTAAAAAAGTCTTTAGCTTTTGAAGAAGTCCATCCATTTCTGAGACGCACTTGGTTCCACAGCACCAGAGAGCTTCAGCTCTCTCTCCCCTTTCATTTGCTAACAGGGGCTTTAATAACTTGATGGAATATAACAAGGGAAAGTGTAGAGTCCTGCATCTGGGCAGGAACAACCCCAGCTTCCAGTATAGGTTGGGGAACGACCTGTTAGAGAGCAGTGTAGGGGAGAGGGACCTGGAGGTCCTAGTGGACAACAGGATGACCATGAGCCAACACTGTGCCCTTGTGGCTAAGGGCCAATGGCATCCTGGGGTGTATTAGAAGGGGGGTGGTTAGTAGGTCGAGAGAGGTCCTCCTTCCCCTCTACTCTGCCCTGGTGAGACCCCATCTGGAATATTGTGTCCAGTTCTGGGCCCCTCAGTTCAAGAAGGACAGGGAGCTGCTGGAGAGAGTCCAGTGCAGGGCAACCAAGATGATTAAGGGAGTGGAGCATCTCCCTTATGAGGAAAGACTGAGGGAGCTGGGTCTCTATAGTTTAAAGAGGAGACTGAGGGGTGACCTTATTAGTATATAGAAATATATAAAGGGGGAGTGTCACGAGGATGGAGCCAGGCTCTACTCAGTGGCAAACAATGATAGGACAAGGGGTAATGGGTACAAACTGGAACACAAGAGGTTCCACTTCAACTTGAGAAGAAAGTTCTTCTCAGTGAGGGTGACGGAACACTGGAACAGGCTGCCCAGGGAGGTTGTGGAGTCTCCTTCCCTGGAGACATTCAAAACCCGCCTGGACACATTCCTGTGTAACATTATCTAGGTGTTCCTGCTCCGGCAGGGGGATTGGACTAGATGATCTTTTGAGGTCCCTTCCAATCTCTGGCATACTGTGATACTGTGATACTGTGACTGCTGACCGCATGCCATTCCCAGAGCTGCCATCCCATGGGAGAAAGAGAAGTGCTTCTTGTGATCTTTCTTTGCATTCATCTTCTTGAAGAAGTCTCATTGCTCCAGAGGTGCTGGGCCCAGTGCAGCAGCCTTGTGCAAGAGGAAACAGACGAAGCTGCTCTCTTCTCTTCCTTTGGAGACTCCCATTGGTCTTGGAGCCCTTTTCAAGAACACAATTGCTTTATTATTATTTTAAAAGATTTCACAGTTTGTGGCTTGGTTTGGGGCTCTTTTTTCTTTTTCTTTTTTTCCAAAATAGTTTTCATGTTCCCTTTTTCCATTCCTTAAATTCTAGACGCTCTTGGCAACTTCTCATTGCTAATGGCAGGGCATTTCTTCCTGTTGCCATGATCCTCAGAGCAGCTGCCTGTCTCTGGTCCATGTAGAACACTCAACTGTAGCTGGGACATGCAAGGGCAAAGGGGAGCAGGGCCTCAAGGAAGAGGAGTAGGAGGACACTTTGCTGTCAGACCTCCACAGACTGAATTTGGTTCATCTGTGCTCTCATCACCTGCATACTGTTAAGGATCCTCTTCTGGTGTGCTGCTAAAGTGACCCCAGCTCGCAGAATGTCCCTTTGGGAGGAAAAGAAACAAACACCATATAAATACCACATTTTTCTCACAGCAGAACAAGTTCATATATGAGCATACTCCATATATGCAACGAATACAGGCAAACCTGGTGAAGTGCTCTTCTCTTTCTTTTTGATTCTTCCTAGCTTTGCAGTTGCTACCTACCTGCAGCACCCCTGCAGTACTGCAACCTCAGTAGAGAGTATGAAACCAAATACCACAGGCTCTGCTCATTGTTTGTAAGTGAATTTGCCTTAAGGTTTTCTACCCATGCATTGTTTTGCTTCTTTCTTTGCATGTTTAGATTATCTCTCTCTTCTTGTGACACAGTAACCCATTTTTTCCTTCCCTGGGGAGACACAAGCAGGAAGTGCTACATTGGCAGCAGTGTGAATCTCATTCCTCCCTGTGCAGATGATGGTTGTTCTTGCTACTTTAGCTTTGATCTGATGAGGCCATCAAGTGATAAACTTTTGCTACTTACCCTCTTTGCTAAATCACAACGCTCTCATTTTTCCACTGCTTCTATTTTTTATAGAGAGCGGGCACCTGGGAAGAACAAAGGTTGTGCCAAGAGCATGAAAGTGACTCTGCATTGTTTGTACCTGTGGTCACTCCACATGAGTTTGTTACTCATCTCCTCCTTGGTGGATAAATCTCAGTCCTGAATGCTTCTGATCAGTGAACAGATGGCATTCAGGAGATGTGACCTGTACCTGACTGTAAGGATTCCCAGTTGCCGTTTCTCCTTCCTTGAGTGTTAGGAGTAGATTTTTAAGAAGTGTGGCAAACCCCTTGCCTGTTTTAGAGTGGAAGTCAATGGGCAAAGAAGGGTAAACAGGTGCTCCAAGGAAAGGTGAGCAAAAATCCTCTAGCACAAGTGGCACATGAGCCTTCAGAGCTGCTTTAGACTTTGTCCCCGCCACGTGTGCTGAGCTAGAGGATTTTCCTTCGTGGATGAGTCTGGCACCTTGACTTTAGCTTTGCTTCTGATTGGGAACAAAGACCAAAGGCTTCACTCATGTCTGTAAAGCAGAATAAGACAGTGGCCCCACACAGCCCTGTGCTTCCTCAGCTTTCTGCCCTGGACGCGGATACTGCGTTGGCCCAGGTGTCCCAGCCTGCACATACGCTTAGGCAGGCTGCGGTGTGGTGTAGGTGTGATGTCCCACTTCAGTCAAAGTTCTTTTTCCCTCTCCTTCAGATTTTATGGACCCTCTTCCTGTTCTATGAATACAGCCTATAATGTGCCAACGTCATCCCCAGGGCCTTGGGGTTGCATCACAGATGTACTGAACAGCCACAACTGCCACGTGAATTTCCTAGCAGCAAGTAAGAACAGAAAGCCAGAAGCGGTCAGTTTGGCTGTTTGCGTGACTGGATTCGGACCCATTAGTAGATTTAAAGACTGCAATTAGGGACCAACTCAGAAACAGAATTCCTGGTTGCGAGGCACAGACATTGCAGCACTTAGAGATGGCTTTAATGCTTGGTGCTTTCTTGGGCAGGTTTGCTAAAGCTAACTGCAACCAACCACAAATCTTTCCCCAGAGGCATCAAAGTCCCAGCTAGCTTCAAGGGATTTCAAAACCCACCACAAACAGATTTCAGCTGCCTGCTTTCTCTGAAGATCTTGACACTAAGGGATGTTTTTAGGGGATGCAGGACAATTCAGAACAAATTTGAAACCATCTGGACTTTCAGAGGCCTTTCTTAGTCAGGAATTTGTTTGCAGTGGTACGTCAGACATCCAAAAGGACTGTGGAGTCTAAAAGTGCTCTTGAGCGGCTGGAGAATGCTCTGATGCTGGCCTGGATTCTCTGTGTTTTCCATGTTGGGGTTTTGGAGACCCTTGTGGGGTTCTTGTTTTCACAGTGGGGACGTGCAGCACGAGAGTGTGGCAATGAATTCTGCAGACCCAGGCCAGCAGACAGACACCCACCGTCCGGAGACAAGACAGAGCCTGCAGCACAAAGTAGTTCTGCAGAAACTGAATAGGCTAGAAGTGGGTCCGCAGAGCAACAAGTTTTAAAGAAACTACATTATGGGAGAATAAAGACTAATTCAATAACAACCCCTTGTTGTCAAACTGCTGAGATTTTTCCTTGGGCTTTGGGAACAGAAGCCAGGGCACTTACTCTACGGTCAGCTGAGATACTACGCCAAAGGCGGTGAAGCCAGCACTGGCAAAGCTCTCCTTGTACTGGCTCATCTTGATGGCATCCAGCCATTCATCCACAGTGTTGAAGCTGGTATAATCTGGGATTGTGCAGTCAAGTAGGGGGAGGTTCATCCTGAAACACAGAAATGGGGAATGAGCAGAACAAACAGCAGAAAGCACATGTATTTCTGCACCCTCCGTCAGCTGAAGAGATCTGGACCAGTACCATTCAAAGTGCCTGCACTGCACCGTATTATGAAATACCAATCAGAAAACAGTCTAATTCAACTGAGGGAAAGATGGTGTAGAGCATCAGAGAAGTCTTACTAGATCAGTTTGTACAGGAGAGTTAGAAGCCTTCAGAGATGATGGGATGCAGCTCTAAAATCATGGCTGCAAGAGGGGAGAAAATACGTTCTCTGGGTGTATCTCCACCCAGCCCAAGGAAACATCATACTGCTCGATGAGGCTTTATTTGCCTCCACTGAATGCAAGATTAAGCTACCAAAACAACCACACTCAGCCAGCATCATATGTACATGAAACCAATGCGCTCCTTTAACTGCAGTTAGAGTCACTGTCCAACCCAGTGAGCTGTGGTCACCAGATCTAACCTGTCCAAGAAGAGGGACCAGAGTGACCTTGACTTCTTGGAATGCCCTTCCTATAAAGGACTAAATATCACTGGGCAAGCTGCCTCTGAAATAACTAGCCTAGAGAGATGCAAAGATGGTACCCACCAGGACACAAAGGACAGCAGATCTGCAAAGAGAAGCCACAGGACAAGAGGAAGACAGAAATACACACCCAGAGGAAAGAGGTGCCATGGCTTTCAGGCTGTTAGGATTTCGCATCAGTTTAGCTGAGGTGTTGACAATTTGCCCAGATTTGGGTCTGTGGTTTCCATCTTTCTGCCAACAGTCAAGCATTAGCTGGCACTGGGCATCTGGACAATCCATAGGTGGTGGCAGCCGATAGTCCTGCTCAATAGCATTTATCACCTACCAGATGAGAAAGAGAGATCAATACAGTGGCAATTAAACCTATTTAATTCCTCATGTTCCTTTTCCCGGACCTTGAGCATGACTGGCATGGCCAGACCTACTGCAGCGGGGCTGACTGCCATCTCAGCCACCACCACATACTACTGTAGCTCCCAGCCGGCTCCACGTCATGTTATCCAGTGAGGAGATGATGGCCTTGTTCAGCTGACACGCAGCCTTGCTGACTACGTGCCATGAGCCATGCCCATAAGTGTCCTGATCCAGGGAGAGCATCCCCGCTACCTTGACAAGGATGTGTAAGCCTGCAGCGTCAGGCACGAGTGAGCCAGAAAGAAGGGTTTGTATTTTTGGACAGGTACACAGCCCAACACAACAGCTCACTGGGAGGAGAGCATCCCTGTCCAGCGAAGGGTCTGTTTGTGAGTTACAGACAGGGGAAGCTGCCCCTGTGTTTTCCTTTCTCCAGTGGTGCTCTCCACTCACTCCCGCCAACAACCCAGTGACAGTCATGCCACGAGACAGGGCTGGGTGCACTGAGCCAGCAGTACATGTTGGATCTCCCCACAGCCCTGTGCACATGCAAACTGGAGCACGCAGTGGGGAGCACCAAGACCTTGGGCAACAGAGCCAGACACATGACAACTTTGCTACAGCCCCTAGAGAAGGGTTGCAGCACACCTTGCCTAAGCCATGCCGCAGCTCTGCGGGCCAAACACAAGGCGGCTTTGGCTGCTGCGTGTTTGCTCTCTCCTTACTGCATCACACAACATGGGAAAATGTCTGGTCTTGCAATGTTTGGTGGAAGAAGCACATGCACAAGGGCTAGAGGCTCTTCTTCAAGAGGAACCTCCTGCAGCCCTCCATCCTCTCTACAATCAAGGAGGATGGAGCTGCACAGCTTCTTACACATCACAGTCCAAGCTTGCCACGGGAAATTCAATGACCCTCTAGTAGAAGATGACCTTGACCATGGCAGGGGGGTTGGACTAAGTTATCTTTAAAGGTTGTTTCCAACCCAAACCATTCTGTGACTCTATAACAAACGTTTACCAAATGCCTGTGGTCTCCTGTAGATGAAGATGTGCTTGCTGCTCCAGGAGCTCTCAGCTCAGGGGTAGCATTTCCTTTTCCACCTGCCTGCTCCCTTTCTTCTTGGGCATCTGTCTACCACCCCCGAGGGTGCTCACATTAACCCTGTCCTATTGCACTGGGTGTTGGACACTCCTTAACCTCTGCCACAGCAGCACAAAAGCAATTCTCCTGGCATATTGTCAAAAAGCTGCACGTTTCCTGCCCCAGGGAAGGGGTTGAAGCTCTTGAACGACAGGATGATAGAGATGCCATTTTTCGTTAAAAAGCCCCAACCAACCAACCAACCTCCAAGAAGGAGACCGCTAACCCGGAAAGCTGGGAATTAGGAACAAAAAAAAAAAAAGAAAAACAACCAAAAAAGCAGGAATCCCTGTGGGTACCGGGGAGAGAGCAATCAAAAGCAAGGGGCTTCCTCCTAAATCT